GTAGAATGAAAAGAGGAAAACATTGACAATCATCTCCCTGGAGTATAAGGCGATTACACTGATAACATCAGCAATTTTCCCAAGGACACAGCACTCCAGACACTGTGGGTATGAGGAGTCTATGCACGTACAGTTCTACCTTGAGCTGCAACCCATTCGTTGCCGCCCTACACAGCTTGATCTCCCATTTGACTGAGGCTTCTTTGCCCTAAGTGTGGGAATTTGTGCCAGGGGGGATATGACTGGATCAATTCTTCCAAGTGTAGATCCCTGCCCAACACATTCTGGGTCCCTTTCCTTTGGACACCCACCAAGCCAGGGGTTCCCTAAAAGGTTCAATGACCACCACTTACACAGTCCTGCGGTGGCCACTTTCTGCTTCTTCTATCCGAGTACCCCAATCTCAGTCCAAGGGTGCAGGCAACTTTGAGGCAGCTGGGCCTCTATGTTAAATCCTTCTGGTGTAGCCCCTGGGTTATGCCATGTTGCCTCCAAGGTCAGTGTCTAAGGTCATCATGGTGCTTAGTCCTTGGCATTGTTCACCGAGGGTTGGGTAGAAACACAGTTATACTATCTCCCCAGGAACATACAATCTGATCCACTGTTCCCCTAGGTTCCCTACAATCATTGTTTAGCATCCCTTCCCAATGTGAGATTATTCCCCCCATTAACCCACCATACTCACCAACAGAACTATCAGTGTCTCCTCCAAAATATAGATGCTCCCCTCTCCTGGTCTTGGCTTGAATTTCCAGCAAGTTCTCCTTCCATTCGGGGTGGGGGTGGGGGAAACGCATTGATTTGTCCCAGCCTTGTCTCAGTGTTGTATAACCTCGAGAGGATGGTCTTCTCCCATTTCTCCCCTCTTGAAGGAGGGACCCCAGACAATGTGAGGTCTCCTCCTTCAAGGTGACTCTTGTGAGGTATACAAAAGGGATGTGGTAATGTATGGTTCCTGGCTGGTAGGTAGCCTTCTCCCCTTTTTTTCAGGAATTGGTCCCTAAGATTTGTTTAATTGGTGTTTTCCCTTATAGTAACAGACGCATACAATACTTGTTCTTTTGTGATTGACTTACTCCACTCAGTATAATGGTTTCCAGGTCCTTCCATGTCATGCGGTGTTTCATGCCTTCATCACAGTTTTTCGGGCTGCATAGTATTCCACTGTGTGTATGCACCATAGTGTCTTTATCTATTCTTCCACTGTTGGGCATTTGGGCTGCTTCCAGTTTCTTGATATTATGCAGTCAAATGCTCTACCCCTATTTCTTGCTATTATGAACTGGTGCTTCTATGAACATGGGGGAGCACACATCCACTCATACTGTGCCTCTTATTTCTTTAGGATTTATGTCTAATCGTGGTTTTGCTGGATCATATGGAATTTCAATTCCCAGTTGCCTTAAATATCACCATATCGTTCTCCACAATGGCTGTAGGTATTTACAAGTCCACCCACAATGTGTATGAGTACCAATCTCTCCACATCTTCTCCAGCATTTGTTGTTTTCTCTTCGGGCTTTTTAAAAAGTGGGCTAGCATTGTAGCTATAAAATGGTCTCTCATTGTGGTTTTAATTTGCATCTCCCTGACGGTTAGTGATCATGAGCATTTCTTCATGTTTTTGTTAGCCATTGGTATTTCATCTTTTGTTCATGTCTTTTCCCCATTTCTTTTTTTTTGGTGAGACTTCATTATTTCTTATAATTACTAGACAACATATTTGGTAAATATTTCCTTGAATTTCTATTTTCTTAGCATTTTACAATAATACTTATATATGAAATCCATTACCCAATATTGATGAATGCTCAAGTGTAAGTACTTAGATAAATTACTACAAATGTGAATACGAATAAATGTATCCTTTTAAAAAATACATTTGCTAATAACTCATTAACTGGTTACACATTACCACAGGTCAATAATAGAGTAAACTTCACTGTCATAAAATCTAATAACCCAAAATACAAAGTCTCATCCTTATTCCTCCAGTTTTATTGCTAAACCTATGCTTAGGCAAAAGCTTTGTTTTTATTGCTGGTGAGGCCAGCAGGGAGGGTGAGGGCTCAAGGTGAAGTGAATGAATATAGGATGCAAAAAAGCCCACATGACTGGTCCAGGGTAGCAGATATTGTCTATCATCATCTTGCAAGGAAGATCAGCAGCGTCTTCCAAGGAAGATCAGAGCAGGTCTTCTATCAGCATCTTGGCAAGGAAGATCAGAGCAGGTCTTCTATCAGCTCTTTTCAATCGACAGGTGTAGAGGTGGCAAGTCTCAGCTATCACTCTGGATCCTTCTCTCGATTCAAGTCCGTCGAGGGCCGGATGAATCTAAGATGGGAAGGCCAGATGGTAAGCTGATTCCTCACAGGCTGTGCAGATGGATGACTCCAAGCTACTATCATTAAGTTCTTGAAGGTCTCCACCATCACGTCTCTGTAGAGTTGCTTCTGAGGAACATCCAGCAGTGCCCATTCTCTTTATTTTCTTATCGAGCTGTTGTAGAGTTCTGTATATTTTCATAATTAGCTCATTGTCCAACGTGTCG